CTGGCACGAGCTGTGACTAAGCAAGCTTGTCTCGTGCTGGGTCTGGGACCTACCCAGATCCAGGTCTGGAACAGGGTGTAGCTGCCTGCCCACCCGGCTCTTATTACATTTAAACTGCGGAGCCACAGCGGGGAGTAACTCCTGGAGGCTTCCTCCCTTATCGTCTAATTGTGTAGTCAATAGGAAGCGAGCAATTAGCTAATTGTGTAGCTGATAGAATTTCTAACAACCCTAGTACTCACTGTTTTAAATTAATAAGGGCACCAGGACTAAAATAAGAAGGTTTCTAATGTCAATAACCTACCTTCAGAAGAAAGAAAGCCACCTGCATTTCTGAGGGGTTTACTGTTAAACTGCTGCTCAACAATATTAACACATGTAAATCATGAAGACTGAAGAGTACGAGATGTGCGGTCCCACTCAGGATAATATATCCAAGCACAGCCAGTATAAAGGAACATTTCTATGCAAATAACATACTTTATAAGCTAAATAAACCCCTTTGGAGTAGTCCATATGTGAGATCATGGTGCCTACCTATGGAACATTCCATATATGCCCTCGGGCATATAATAGAACATAAGGCATCAAAACAAGGCAACTTCTGAACAATATATTTTAAGGAAATTGCATCTAGGACCTAAACAAAAACTACAAGAACTACAGACAGTTCAGAACCAGCTCCAGAACACTACTACTAGAGGCCAACCAGATGTAAAATCTCCATACCAGTACAGAAAGGACAGCTTCAAGCTCACCAAAAGTTTTACATAAAGTTTTGCATAGTCACTGTTTTCTGCCATTTAACATTCTTTGGTGCCTCAGACCTCATTTCCAAAGATGCTCTAAAACAGGGCTACTCAATAGGTGGGTCACGTGTGGCCCGCGGCCCGTTTGTTTGCGGCCCACGGTGCAGTCTGGGTTAATACGGGGCTCAACACGTGGCCCACGGGTGGGATTCTTTGGACATGGCCTCCACTGGGAACATGCTCCACAATGGTGAGGCATTTCCCAAGTGGAGTGAGCACTGAATCTCCACTGGGAACATGCTCCACAATGGTGAGGCGTTTCCCAGGTGGACTGAGCACTGAAAGACACAAGCAGACAGGCTGGCTGGAATAGATGAGTTACAGGGTATCAGCATTTCTAGGCCCAGGGAGGAGGTGCCAGGCATTGTGGGAAGTGCTGGCTGCTTAGCCTTGCAGGCAGAGCCTGACAGGTGCTGACTGGCTCCCACTGGTCATGTGTGGTTGAGCGCCACGGCCGGACGGCTCTGCCTCCATTCCGTATGGAGTGATGGACTCCCGCATGGGGATGTCAGCCCTGCTGGGAATCTAGGACGGGGCTCCCAGGCACCTGTCCTCTTTTGCCTTTCATGTCACGTTGGAGTGTTCTGATTTGGAAACTTTTCTTTTTACAGTAAAATCACTCCAAGAAATGCACAACCCGAAGCTTCAAGCTAAACACCCAAAACACTGGCATACAATTTTCTTTTTAATAAGATGCAGTTTTTGTTTGATTTATTAAAATTGTGAACCCAAAACAAAAAAGTAGTCAATACAATGGTCTTCAGTTGATATGCGCTTTAGTAGTTAAATTCTTGGACTGTCGTTGCTCATTAAAAGTGCTGTCATCTGGGTGGAAATTGGGTAAATATTTCATTTTGTTAATATCAGCAGAACTGACTTAAATGGGGCCTGTGTGTTGTGTAGTCTTGCCTTAATCTTTGTATTCATGCCTGTCAGTGTGAAAAGTTATTTGCATGTATACTCAACCACACTTAAGTTGCAGCCTTCGGCATGTGTTGTGAGTATTATTGTGGCCCCCAGGGCTTCCAAAGTTGAGTAGTCCTGCTCTAAAAAAAATTTTTTTTGAAAAAACAAGCAAACAAGAGGATGAAGAGCTAAGCCACTCCAGCTAAAGATTTTTTCCCAAAGCTGAAAATCCTTCCTAATTCCAAGCACTGCCCTAGCAGAAGTAAGACAAAATATAGCATGTTGTACAAGCACTTTACCAGCTAGGAGCATAGCAGCAGTGCAGGAAAGAAAGCCATTGAAAATAATAGACAGTGGCCCATTAGTTGTAGCCAGAGGCTCTAAGAGTTCTAAGAGCTTCAAGTCTGGCTTAATAACCAGTGAGCAGATGCCTAAATAGACACTGCCCAATCCCACAGGGCTGCATTTTTTAGAATCTGAGGCAGAAAAGACAATCAGGGCTGTCAAGCAATTAAAAAAAATTAACTGTGATTAATTGCCCTGTTAAATAATAATAGAATGTCATTTATTAACATATTTTGGATATGTTCTACCTTTTCAAATATATTGATTTCTATTACAAAGCAGAATACAAAATGTACAGTGCTCACTTTTTATTTGCACTGTACAAAAATTGTATTTTTCCAATTCTCCCATTACAAGTACCATAGTGAAAGTGCAACTTACAAACACAGAATTGTGTACCAAAAAACTGCATTCAAAAATAAAACAATGTAAAACTTTAGAGCCTACACATCCTCTCAGTCCTACTTCTTGTTCAGCCTATCACTCAAACAAGTTTGATTAGAGCTGCAGGAGATAATGCTCCCCACTTATTGTTTACATGTATCCTAAAAATGAGAAGAGGCGTTCGCATGGCACTGCTGTAACCAGTTTCACAAAATATTTATGTGCCAGATGCACTAAAGATGCACATATCCCTTCGTGCTTCAGCCACCAGTCCAGAAGACATACATTAGTGCTGAGAATGGGTTCTGCTCAATAACAAACCAAAGCCTCGTCAACTGACGCACATTCATGTTCATGGTCCGAGTCAGACACCAAACAATAGAAAGTGAATTGTTTTTGACGGGGGTTCAGATTCTGTAATTTCCACATCTTTTAAGACTTCTGAAAGCGTGTTCCACACCTCATCTCACTCAGATTTTGGAAGACACCACATTCTTAAACCTTGGGTCGGGCGCCGTATCTATCTTTAGAATTCTCACATTGGTACCTTCTTTGCATTTTGCCCAGTCTACAGTGAACATATTCTTAAAATGAACAATGTGTCATCATCTAAGACCCCTGTAATATGAAATAGATGGCAAAATGTGGTACAACAAAGCAGGAGGTATACAATTCTCCCCTAAGCAGTTGTCACAAATTTAATTAATGCATTTGTAACGAGTGTCATCAGCACAGAAGCATGTCCTCTGGAATGGTTGCTGAGGCATGAAGGGGCATATGAATGTTTAGCATATCTGGCACTTAAACACCTTACAATGTTGGCTACAAAAGTGCCATACAAATGCGTTTTCACTTTCATGTGACATTGTAAATAAGAAGCAGGAAGCATTACCTCCCATAAATGTAAACAGATGTGTTTGTTTTAGCAACTGGCTGAATGGACATGTAAGCTCTAAAGCAGGGGTCAGGAGCAAAATATGCCTCACTAGGAAGACAGATATGGTTCTTTTGCAGGTCGAACTCAGCCCCCATTGTATCCCCGCAGCAGGAAACCCATGCTAGCACTCCAGCCTTGTGGGCCAATCCTCCCCCCCAGATGCGCCAACTTCCTGCGGGGGGAGAAGGGACCCCAGGCCTCCCCACTGGATCTGGTTGGGTGGGGGGAAATTGCTCCACAAGCTGACGCTTCCCTTCCCACTCCCCTGGATGGGGAAACAGCAGCGCAAAGACACGCTTCTGGGAGGCTTTCCCCACTGCTCCCAACAGGGAAAGCCTCTGATGGTCCTGCCCACTCAGCTCTGGCCGCAGTGAGTGCTCTCCACCCCCTCATGCCCAGCCCCTGCATTCCCAGCCCCTTCACACACACACCCTTCCCCACTGAGACCATGCACCCCCAGCCTGCTCCTGCCACCTCCCACCGAGACCTTGCACTCTCACCCACTCCTACACCCCACCTTCTGCCCAGATCCTAACCCACATCCCTCTCCCATTCACTGGCAGCCCTGTCCCGCACACTGAAACCCTCATTTCTGGCCCCAGCCCAGAGCCTAGAGGGGTCCACAAAATCCACTAACCCTGGAAGAGTTAAGCTGGCTTGATGCCTTGAACCACAGTCCTTCCTGCCCTTCCCCTCCCCCTGGGGCTGGAGCACAAGGGGAGTGAGGTGTTTCAGTTGGGGGTCACAACAGTAAAGGTTCAGAGGGGTTGCAGTGGTTTTTTTTGCTTCTTACTTGTGTGGTCCCTCCACAACTATCATAAATAAAGACAATGTTGGAAGCTTTTGAGTTGGACATAATACTGTATTTTACTTTATTTAAAAATGAAGCCTGGCCAATAAGCCAGGCCCCATCTGGCCACAACGTCATAATACTTCTGCACCCCACACATCCCAACCCTGAGCCCACCATACACCTGAACTCCCTGCCCTGAGCCCCTCATTCCCAAACTCCTGTACCCCCATATCCCCAGCCCCCTGCCATAACACTCCTGCACCCTCCACACCCTAACCTTGTGCCCTGAGTCCATCATACACCCAAGCCACCTGCCCTGAGCCCCTCATACACCCCAACCCAGACTCCTGC